TTGCGATTCTAATGTAGAAGAAAAAACTTTATAATTCCCCCCCCCCCCCCCCCAAAAAAAAATAAAAATAAAATAAAATGTAAGATTTGTAGTCTTGCATCCCATTGGAAATGATAATACGATGTCCTTACCCTAAAAACAAGTTAAAACAATTTAAACAGGGGAGGAGTATGAAGAAGATGGCTCAGGGACGATATGCTGTGAACTGTTGCTATGTGACTGCCACCATCCTATCCATGTTTGAAAAAAGCAGTTGACGTGACAAATTTTCTCCCTCTCTTTTTTTTCTTCTCCTTTTTCCGTCTAAGAAAATCCTCAATATGACAATTGTGAGGTGTGTTTCTAACCCAAGTCATACCGCTATCTCAAAATAAGAGAGGGATAGGGAGAGGGAGGAGAGGGGAAGCATCCGAAATGAATAGCATGCGCCACATCCAGCAGTTCTTTAGTGATTTCAACTGTTTTTCAATTTCAGAGCACTTATCCTCTCTCTCTCTCCTGCCTTCTGCCATCAACCTGAATATCTCTATGCACTTACTGGAGAATAAAAAATAAAAACGAAAAAAAACCATTTTTGTGCACAACTGCAATTCAGAGCACTTATCCTTCCTCCCCTGAATTGTGCCATAAAAATATTGACTATCTTTATGCACACTCCATTCAATATTCAAATTTCCTATTCAATTCTTGACTACTAGAGCTGCTGGAACTTGTACAAAGTTAAAGAGGTAGCTCAAGCATATCCAAGCGCACACACACACACCCCACAAAAAAAAAAAAAAGAAAAAAAATATGAACCACAAAATGCAAATTCCACACTTCATCCATTTGGAATGGTTTGCCAGTTGGTCATTCTCTGCCAGGTTAAATGCTATGCTCCACTAGGATGCATGTTTAAGAGCCCACAGTCATTATGTTGTGGAAGGCAGAATAGTTTTAGCAGCTTAATTATCCTATCAAGCCCCAAAAATACACCATCATTACCGACATTCGGTCTCCCAACAAGAGATGATTAATCTAACATACTGTCTTAATAAATAACTATTAAGAGAATTAGTATTTGAATTTAAAGTGTTATGTTGTTTGCCTTTTGGTCATGCTGCCATTAATGTCTCACCTAAATCCTTCACATTGATTTCATTTGAAAAAAATAAGAATGGGTTCATGCATTTTCTAGTAAACAAACTTGAGGGACTACACCTCCCATTGCCACATATTCTGCATTAGCTTAGTAATGGGACATCCAAACAGCACTGATCCACTCTTCATCATCTCACATACATTGAAACAAAAGAAGACCAAGGCACTAAAATCAATTGACAATTACGTCAGCTAAATGTCACTGGTGCATGATGTTATAGAGGGAAGAAAAGCAGGTTGACTTACAAAAAAAAGTTGGAAGAACCAAAAGCCCAGCTGGGAATGGCAGGGTTTGAGCCATGCAAGGGGTTGATCAAGGTGTCCACAGGCATACAAGTGCTTCTATTTTGACCTAACATATATTGGTGCAGTTGGCTTTTAGGTTNGTTGACTTACAAAAAAAAGTTGGAAGAACCAAAAGCCTAGCTGGGAATGGCAGGGTTTGAGCCATGCAAGGGGTTGATCAAGGTGTCCACATGCATACAAGTGCTTCTATTTTGACCTAACATATATTGGTGCAGTTGGCTTTTAGGTTGTGGCATATTGGTGATGCATATCATAATCATGGAATAGCTAATGGGTGGGTGGGATGCACCATGAAAACAGTCCTCAAGGCACTTTCTAAACCAAGGAGCAAGAATAAAAGGAGCTCACCTCCCCTTCCGCCTTTCATCTGAAAAACATAGCTTACATCCTTAAAACAGTGAAGACTACAAAATCAGCCATGCCTCCTAGGCTCAATGCCTTTCTTTTTGTTTTCCTCATATTACTCATCTATTCATCTTCAGGTGAGCTTATTCTCAATGTTTTCTAACTTCATTTCCAACTCTCCCATTTGGTTGGTAAAATGATGTAACTGCTATATCTCATTCTAGTTTCTCTTCTCTAGGCATGGTTGAAGGCTTCAATGATGGCGTGAACCCCTTTTACCGGAGCCACAAGGTAGTTTGTAGTAGTTAGATATGATATGTTCAATAGATTATGCATGTGTTGCAGATTGTTGATGCCCTTATATTGCAAACATGTAGCAATGTATAAAAACTAACAGAGAAGTAGTATCACGGAATGCACATTACAACAATTAAACAGTGGGAAAAGAAAATCACGTAATGATTTATCTTTACAGTTCGTTAACATATTCTTTCTATCAAGGCTTAATAAGTTGCATAAATTTTGCTAATCATAATTTGTGTTTCTGTGAAGGATGGTGTTCAACTGAATTCAAGAAAGCTTCCTGTGCTTGAAGCACTATTGTTGGATTATGATGATGCAGGAGCCAATAGCAAACATGATCCCAGGAAAGGGAAACCTGGAGTTGGTGGCAAGAACCCATAACTGCACTCATCATGCTTTTGAGACAAAACTATGTGCTAGATGCCATTCCAAAGAGATTTTTGACCATGAATGAGGAGACATAATATATCACTTTATATGAGTTCCTCATATGTTAATAGTGTCCTGGTCCTCTTGCTAGCAAATAGGGAATAAAAGGTGATTTAGGGTGGTATTTCAGATGCTCTTTGGGTACTCCTTTGGCTATTGTTTTTCTCTTACTATAAGGTAATAATTAACAAAGTTATTGCCAGTCTTTTAAGAGCAATAGGTCATGTAGAAGACAGAACAGCATCTAGCACAAGGCTAAGACCTATTTAAAGAACTTTGCCACGCATGTCGCTCAGTGACTGGTGACTAATCAAGCTCCTGGACTGTTCATCTGATTGAACCACAGACAAGAGCCAAGACTAATGCTTATCAAAGCAATCATAGTAATCCAGAAAACTATGCCTAAAATCATGGAAAGTTTTGAACATTTATCATTTGTGAGAATCACTAACTTTGCCCATCTGTTCTGTATAACGACCAAATTGTCTAACTGCAATTAAGGGTGTTTTTACTTTTTTATTAAAATTATTTTTTGCTTAAATACCTTATATAAAATGTTAGCAAATAATACAATAATTAACGAATATGGCAAGTATTAATACTTACCTTAATGCTATAGCATCACTGATCACACATATCTACCTAAAGTTCCTCCCTTAGATATCCAGGACCAGGCTTCATGTATGCCTCAGGGCGGTAAAACCCTGCATCATTCATCCGATTGCTTAGCACATGAAGGATAGCTTTCTTTGCACCATACTCATCTTGGTTCTTCTCAACATACTCTTTGGCCTCAGCTGCAACCTCATTCACAAAATTGAACCGGTTATCCTACGACAACAATAGTCTCTCAATGTCCATTGTCAATAGCTTCCCCGTTTCTCTTATCTTCCTCGCCTGCTCCTCAAGGAAAGGAGCTCGTTCCAATTTGTATTGCAACATGTCATCCTTATTTGTCTGAAACACTGAAAAAATTGGAATGAACATTCTGAGTTGATGCCCATGAGCATCGAGTGAGCAGTTATTAGGGGAAATCATAATCAGAAAAAGCATGACCCAGATGTTACAAAAGGATATGATTTCATACTCATCTTGAATAGGATTCTAGAGCACTCTGAGAAAAGATTATTTCATATTACAATCTAATACCCAAATCTGAAATAGGATACACAATCTGTCCCAAATAGTTCACTAATTCCAAATACTCCACATATATCACCATTAACCAATTATTGATCAGTCACACATAAATCTGACGGCATATGATTTCATTTTCTTTTAAGCAGCAGTAGTTCGATTAAAAAAAAAAAATTGATGTTCTGTGCTAAAACCCCATTCAAAATTGTGGTGAAACTTATTGACCTTTTCGTGTCTCAATCGGTTGCCACTAATAGTAAAAGATTAAGCAGCACGGTATAAGAAAGCCTACTAAGGATATTTGCAGTAGTCATGTCAAAAATTGTGCAATAACATGTAACAGCTGCAGAAAATTGTGGTTGATTATTGCATTAAGTAACCTATTCTGAAGAACCAGGTTAAGTTCTAAACATAAACTCAAAGGAAATAGAGCAAGTCAACAATAAGTAAAAAATTTACAAGAAGTGCCTTATACTATCTCTTTCACCTGAAAAACATGAATCATGCTCAGAAATTTCAGTAAATCAAACCATGTGCAAGGTAGGATTGCTCAACCCAAGCATTTTATCATTTCCATTTCCTTCTTAAAGCCTCTAACTTGCTTCACCTCACCACCGCCACTATTCTAGCTTTCTGTGATGCCACAAAACACCAAAGTGAACACGAAAGTAAGCAATCAACTTTGTCATGACCAATAGAAGGCTAGAAGCTATGGAAAAAGGCAATCAATCATGTCAATGCTTCAGCAATTGCAACAATGGAAATCAGAAACAAAATAATTCTTTTCTATATATTTTTATCCTTAGCACTCTCATGTATTAGNCCAATAGAAGGCTAGAAGCTATGGAAAAAGGCAATCAATCATGTCAATGCTTCAGCAATTGCAACAATGGAAAACAGAAACAAAATAATTCTTTTCTATATATTTTTATCCTTAGCACTCTCATGTATTAGCCAAATAATAAGAATAAAGTGGATCCATTCGTGTCACTCAGTAACCTTGCACCTTTTTGGAAGTAAAACTTATTACCAGCAACAATACAACTTACTGTCCATGAGCTCCAACATCAAGGCTACAGATTATGAACAATGCTCGCCTGCAAAAACTAATTCTACTTCACTTAGCAGTCCTTAATCCCTTATTTGTAGGGGTGGTAATAACCCCATCGTTATTCAAAAACTACTTCATTTGGGAAATAAGTTTGAAACTGTCTTAGTTTAGAAAATAAAAATTCAAACTACACGCGATTGCCGGAAAACTCGGTCTACAAAGATATCGCCACCTACTTAAAACTTATAACTAATGATCACAAATAAGCAACAAAGATTCGAAATAAGGGGCTTCATAGTACCAATTTTCCTCGCCTCCATATTCGCCGACCACAGCCTTGATTTTGGGAGTGTGACGTGACCTGCAAACAAATAATCGCACAAATGAAAATGTAATCGGAATACAATTGATAATGTTTCTTAAATGCCGCGAACTTTTAGCTTTCACCTCAATTCTCTGCATTAAAGAAACATCATCAGTTGGATTCTTAAGGATAATAGTGAACGAATTGAAAATATTCTAGAAAAACAAGAGTCGTGGAATGTTTGGTTGCTCAGAAAATGTGGAAAAAAAACCAAATTTGTATTTGGATGTAAAATCCAATAGTCACTGGGGATAAGATAAAGCAAAGGCCATCACTATAGATGAGCTGAGTTTATTCCAACATTTCGTACTTTGCTCTTCTTTTCTGTAATTTTCTTTGCAACAAAACATCAAGCTTAAGAAGAAGAAGAAGAAGAATAGAGCTTACGGATGAACGTAGATGTGATATACTGCTGAAAGATGGAGTCAAAACAGCCATCCGCCATCGTCATGTTCATCTCAGTTGATCGTCTGCGTGCATTCTTTTATTTGGGGAAATTACACTGACGTACCCGCGGGTTTTTTACAATGTCTACAACACCTCATTCATTTCTGAAATTACGCTAAATCTTCAAGTTTACGCTATTTATTTAGCCTCCCATACAAAGCTAAACAGACAAGACTTAAAGCATGCCAATTAAGTTATATGGGCTTATTCTTAGCAGGCCTAATTGGGCTCATTTTTAATAGTCCAATCAAAATCCCAGTCGAATCCAGAAAGAGAACCGGGCTTCACTCCACCCTGACCCGATCACTCTGTTACTGTACTACTTTTAAATCGAAGATAGTAGTAAGGTATCCTTTAGCCTCGCCAGCTCCAACAATGGCTGCTTCACTTCTCTTTCCCTCCTCCACCTCCCTCAACTACTACAGGTAGCTATGAAACATCCTACCCTCTCTCACTCTATATCTATTTATATATATACAGAGATGTCCCTAATTATGCTTTGTGCTTTTTGTATCTGATCGTATCTGTCTCTCTCTGCCTGAAGTTCCATGTTGTTTCTGGATGGTTTGTATGTGTGAGGCGATTACTTACCTCATTACTGGTTCTTTTGGGTTTTCTTTTTGAATTTTTTTTATTGGATTAAAAATCAACAGAGCAAATTATAATGTCAAATAAACTAAAGATTGAATATAACATTTTGATTTTTTGCTGTTTCTAATTATGAAGTAATTATCAAGAATTTTGATTTATTGAACGAAAGACAGAGTCGTAGGACTGAATGATAGTAACATTCAATTTGTGGAGCTATTCAGAAATTGCTTATGGGGGGAGAATAATGAATTAGAAACGATATAAAATTGTTAATGAAGAAAAAGGAGGGGTTCGGTGTAATGCTGTGCAGTGCGGAAATCCCTTAGAGAAATTTCTTTGTTGCTAGGCTGTTGTGGATCTTCAAAAAAATTTTGAAGTTATTTGCATACTATTTGGAGTACTAATGTGTAAATTTGAAGTTTCCTGGCTATGAAGTTTGAACATATTTGGGATTTTGAGAATAGAATTCAATTTTTTTGTGATTTGGAACAAACAAGTAAAATCATTTGTTAACCGGAATTTCAGTAAGGTCATAAATTTTGTTCCATTGTTGTTCTCGTCATTTTCATTGTTGTGCCCGTTTAAATGCCTATGGTGTGGTTATTTACATCAGATCCTTTTGTATATTTTATTATGGTTCAACTTGGTTGTATTAGTTGCTAATAATTTCATGACTGTATGATACACTGGGTTTTCTGTGTTATTTGTTCCTGTACTTTTCAGGATGAGTAAGTTGTGTCTACAAATTCATTCAGGCAAGTTGCAGAAAGGGATAATGTCTTTCTTTGTTCATCTCCCAAACCAAAAATCCAACTTTGAGCTTTACATGGTTCCTGGTGGAGCCTTTTCCCGCCAACATATCATGAGACCTTTTGCTATAGCTTGCTCATTAGAAGCAGATGTCACGCACCAAGGAAATCAAGTTAATTCAAGTGTTTTGGGTCCAAACAGTCCTCAGAGGTATGGACTTACCTGAATATTGTTGTGTGACCAGTGATCTTGAGCTTAAGTTAATCAATCATAAACACAACAGATGACCATCTGCTAATCAGCTCTTTGAGGATGGTAAACTGCCTGCATTTGTCTGGAGAAGTAACCCAGTAGCTTCTGTGTGCAATTTTTATCAACCAAAAGTTGCTTTTCCCCTTTGAAAATTGGTCCTTATCAATGGGTTGTTGCATGAAGATCTTGGTGATCTCTGTGGCTTTCTAAACTGTGTGTCAAAGTAAAGGTTGATACTTCAAGGGTCTTTTTTTTTTTGTTGGGGGACGGGGGTGGGACAAAACTTAAATGTAGGTGAATGAATTTCAGATGCATTTTTCGATATATGTTAGCTATGTGTCAAACTACTATTTGCTTGGTCGTAAGATGGCTTATTAATTTCTGTACAGTACTTTGATCCGCCAATGCTCTAATCGAACACTACTCATTTTATTCCTTTTTAAGACTTGTTCTTCGGCTTCAAAAATAGTATGCATGTTGATCATTGCAATTTTAATTTTTGAAGTACTGAAAGGCATAAAATGTGTGTAAATTTTGTATTTGAAAGTAACAAGAAATATGAAATGGTCTTAACAGGTCTAAAAAGTTGCATGATACCTCTACAAACCGCTTGGACTGTATGAATGATCTTGAAAGACAGTTGCAGGAGTTGTTTGATGAAGTCAAAGCTATGATTAGGATGGGAAAGAAAAATGATGCGGTAGATCTACTTCAAGCAAATTATGAAGCTGTGAAAGAACAGATGGATGCAGGTGCAAGAGGCATAGAAGAGGCTGCCATTCTTGATGTCTTAGCTCTGGGGTACTTGGCCATTGAGGATTTAAAGATTGTTCGATCTCTATTAGATAAGGTAATTCCATTTTGATAGAAAAATTGGATATCCTGATTTGTGTGAAGGTTCACTTTTTTTTTGTCAATATGATTCATTTGATGCAATTGTAGTCAATCNTCAATTTTTTTGTGATTTGGAACAAACAAGTAAAATCATTTGTTAACCGGAATTTCAGTAAGGTCATAAGTTTTGTTCCATTGTTGTTCTCGTCATTTTCATTGTTGTGCCTGTTTAAATGCCTATGGTGTGGTTATTTACATCAGATCCTTTTGTATATTTTATTATGGTTCAACTTGGTTGAATTAGTTGCTAATAATTTCATGACTGTATGATACACTGGGTTTTCTGTGTTATTTGTTCCTGTACTTTTCAGGATGAGTAAGTTGTGTCTACAAATTCATTCAGGCAAGTTGCAGAAAGGGATAATGTCTTTCTTTGTTCATCTCCCAAACCAAAAATCCAACTTTGAGCTTTACATGGTTCCTGGTGGAGCCTTTTCCCGCCAACATATCATGAGACCTTTTGCTATAGCTTGCTCATTAGAAGCAGATGTCACGCACCAAGGAAATCAAGTTAATTCAAGTGTTTTGGGTCCAAACAGTCCTCAGAGGTATGGACTTACCTGAATATTGTTGTGTGACCAGTGATCTTGAGCTTAAGTTAATCAATCATAAACACAACAGATGACCATCTGCTAATCAGCTCTTTGAGGATGGTAGACTGCCTGCATTTGTCTAGAGAAGTAACCCAGTAGCTTCTGTGTGCAATTTTTATCAACCAAAAGTTGCTTTTCCCCTTTGAAAATTGGTCCTTATCAATGGGTTGTTGCATGAAGATCTTGGTGATCTCTGTGGCTTTCTAAACTGTGTGTCAAAGTAAAGGTTGATACTTCAAGGGTCTTTTTTTTTTTGTTGGGGGACGGGGGTGGGACAAAACTTAAATGTAGGTGAATGAATTTCAGATGCATTTTTCGATATATGTTAGCTATGTGTCAAACTACTATTTGCTTGGTCGTAAGATGGCTTATTAATTTCTGTACAGTACTTTGATCCGCCAATGCTCTAATCGAACACTACTCATTTTATTCCTTTTTAAGACTTGTTCTTCGGCTTCAAAAATAGTATGCATGTTGATCATTGCAATTTTAATTTTTGAAGTACTGAACGGCATAAAATGTGTGTAAATTTTGTATTTGAAAGTAACAAGAAATATGAAATGGTCTTAACAGGTCTAAAAAGTTGCATGATACCTCTACAAACCGCTTGGACTGTATGAATGATCTTGAAAGACAGTTGCAGGAGTTGTTTGATGAAGTCAAAGCTATGATTAGGATGGGAAAGAAAAATGATGCGGTAGATCTACTTCAAGCAAATTATGAAGCTGTGAAAGAACAGATGGATGCAGGTGCAAGAGGCATAGAAGAGGCTGCCATTCTTGATGTCTTAGCTCTGGGGTACTTGGCCATTGAGGATTTAAAGATTGTTCGATCTCTGTTAGATAAGGTAATTCCATTTTGATAGAAAAATTGGATATCCTGATTTGTGTGAAGGTTCACTTTTTTTTGTCAATATGATTCATTTGATGCAATTGTAGTCAATCGAAAACGATGTCCATATGCTAGTCTGTTATTGAAACTATTGGAGATATAGCAGTTTAGTTTATTAGGGTTTATTAAATTTTTCCTTTTTTACCTTTTTATCCTTATTGTAACTTTCATTAGCTCTATATAAGGGGTTCTACACTTAGTTTGTATCCCTTTTTTTCTCTTCTAAATATTTCAAGTTGGTATCAGAGCCGAATGCTAACCTTAACCTTAACCTTAACCTAACCCTAGCCTCCACCAAGACTGCCTCACCGGCAAACTAACTTCAAGCCAAAACAGTTATTGCCCACCGACAAAACCACCAACCCAAAGCACTGCCCACCAACCCAGCCACTACCAAAACCATTTACACCGACTGGTGACTGCCCCATACCAAAACTATCTACACCGACTGGCCCATACCAAAACTAACCACTGTCCAGGCCACACCGACAGCCTGCTGCATCCCACCAACTGCCCCATACCAAAACTAACCACTGTCTAGGCCACACCGATAGCCTGTTGCATCCCACTGACTACCCCATACCAAAACCAAACATTACCCAGGCCACATCAACAGCCTGCTGCATCCTTGCTGCACCAAAACATCATTATCTCCAGCTGGGTCACTGTCCAGCCCAAACCCAATATACCACAGACTAGTCCACAGCCTAAACCAGCTCACTACTGGGTCACTTACCACAAACCAGCCCACTGTTGGGTCGCGATTTTTGTGGCTTCGTTCTTTGTATTCTTCGTCACAGTGCTGCCAGGCTGTAGTATCTAGGACTTTTTTAAGAGGGGTTGAATTCTCTTCTTCGTTGATATGCTCTTGATGCAGTAGATCATTTATTTATATTTATTGGATTTCTGGCACCGTGACCTGATTATTTGGGAGCTTTTTGGACCTTTTTTATTTGTCGTTACTGTTAGACTAGAGGTATATTGTTCTCCTTTATTTTATCCCTCTATTTATCTTAGAGTTGTTTTTCTGTCACGAGTGCCCTAGTATTATTGATGATATGACTACTACTAAGGGATTTGAGACCCCTACCGTTGAGACATCTGTTAGTACTTCCATCGGGTATAGGGGTCGACAACGCTCGGTCCAACGCCGTCAGGGTACCCCATATCAGCGTAGATATGGGGATTCTCATTAGTGTGATTATTGTAGCCGACTAGGACATCTCAGGGCTACTTGTTGGAAGCTCCATCCGGAGCTTNTATTGCCCACCGACAAAACCACCAACCCAAAGCACTGCCCACCAACCCAGCCACTACCAAAACCATTTACACCGACTGGTGACTGCCCCATACCAAAACTATCTACACCGACTGGCCCATACCAAAACTAACCACTGTCCAGGCCACACCGACAGCCTGCTGCATCCCACCAACTGCCCCATACCAAAACTAACCACTGTCTAGGCCACACCGATAGCCTATTGCATCCCACCGACTACCCCATACCAAAACCAAACATTACCCAGGCCACACCAACAGCCTGCTGCATCCTTGCTGCACCAAAACATCATTATCTCCAGTTGGGTCACTGTCCAGCCCAAACCCAATATACCACAGACCAGTCCACAGCCTAAACCAGCTCACTACTGGGTCACTTACCACAAACCAGCCCACTGTTGGGTCGCGATTTTTGTGGCTTCGTTCTTTGTATTCTTCGTCACAGTGCTGCCAGGCTGTAGTATCTAGGACTTTTTTAAGAGGGGTTGAATTCTCTTCTTCGTTGATATGCTCTTGATGCAGTAGATCATTTATTTATATTTATTGGATTTCTGGCACCGTGACCTGATTATTTGGGAGCTTTTTGGACNGCATGCACCAGTCATCCAAACCATTTGACCTAATTCACTCAGACATTTGGGGACCCTCTCCTGTTGCTGCTCTGTCAAGTGCCCGATACTATGTGACATTTATAGATGACCATACTCGTTGTACTTGGGTCTATCTTTTGCATAGGAAGTTTGATGTACTCCCTGTCATCACTCAATTTCTTCAGATGATTAGGACACAGTTCGATGTCATTGTTCGTGCTCTTCGTTCGCATAATGCCAAAGAATATGTATCTGATGNTTTGAGACATCTGTTAGTACTTCCATCGGGTATAGGGGTCGACAACGCTCGGTCCAACGCCGTCAGGGTACCCCACATCAGCGTAGATATGGGGATTCTCATTAGTGTGATTATTGTAGCCGACTAGGACATCTCAGGGCTACTTGTTGGAAGCTCCATCCGGAGCTTAAGTCGCCTCCTTGCAGCCGTACTATTGCCATTGCTAAGGCGGCACCACCACCTATAGTCATTGCTCCTGCTACTATTGTTACTGCTCCTCCTTGGCAAAGTAATATGGATGCTATCACTTCTCGCTTGGATATACTTATGTCAGTCTTGACTTCTCAAGGTTCGACTAATACTGCTGCCATTACTATAGATATACCTCGTGTCTTTCATACTTGTACCAGTCCGTCTTCTCTTTGGATGCTGGACTCGAGTGCTAATGGTCATATGACAGGTGAGGCCCATCATTTCACCTCTTTTGACGAGCAGTTACATACTCAAGTTCAGTTAGCAGATGGTACACATGCCCCTATTGTTAGTTGGGGTACAGTCTACCTCTCAAATAACTTTACATTACGTTCGGGGTTTCATGCGTCAAAGCTGGCCATGAATCTATTATTTGTACATCAGTTAGCCAGACATTTTTACTGTGCGGTTGTGTTTTTATCTGATTCGTATTATTTGCAGGACCTGAGTACTAGGAGGATAATTATCAAGGAACATGAGAGAGATGAATTATATTATTTAGGCGATCCACCTTCGGTTTCACCAGTTTCTCCACCTCCACCTCCACCACCTGCTTTGTCTTTATCTGTTCTTAGCTTACATGCTAGTATTTTACCTAATACTTGTCGTTATGATTTTTCATCACAAACTGTTCAGTTATGGTATGATTGTTTTGGGCATACAAATTTTAAATATTTATGTATGTTATTTTCTGCTTTGAGCAAAGCTTGTGTTAGTGGTAAACTTGACTGTGTTATATGTTCGCTATCAAAACATGTTCGGACCAGTTATATTTCTCTCATGCACCAGTCATCCAAACCATTTGACCTAATTCACTCGGACATTTGGGGACCCTCTCCTGTTGCTGCTCTGTCAAGTGCCCGATACTATGTGACATTTATAGATGACCATACTCGTTGTACTCGGGTCTATCTTTTGCATAGGAAGTTTGATGTACTCCCTGTCATCACTCAATTTCTTCNCTGGTGATCTAGATGAGATTATTTATATGAATGCACCACCGAGCTTTCATGGTGTGGGGGAGTATGCTGGAAAGGTTTGTTGACTGCGTAAGTCTCTTTATGGACTGAAATAGTTGCCACGAGCCTGGTTCTCTCATTTTAGTGATGTAGTTGTACGTTTAGGGTTCACCAGATGTCATTTTGATCATACCTGTTTCATTCGACGGAATATTTTCGGACAGTGTGTCATCCTTTTGGTATATGTTGATGATATTATTATTACTGGAGATGATACTTTTGNGGCGTCGTTATCCACGGCGTGATTGTCGTCCAGTTGTTTGTTATGGTTGGACCGCAAAGATTTTATATCTGATCTCTGCTTATGTTTTTTATGGTGATCTGTCTCCTACATTTCGAGCTTATAGTATGGCCTTATCAGATACGCCGGTTCNTTTTCAACATAGGGTTCCCTTACAGATCTTATTCCCTGAGCGGACACTTTTTTTGGTCCCTTCTCGTGTTTTTGGCTGCACATGTTTTGTTCAGGATCGGTCTCCTACTCGTCATAAGCNACATAGGGTTCCCTTACAGATCTTATTCCCTGAGCGGACACTTTTTTTGGTCCCTTCTTGTGTTTTTGGCTGCACATGTTTTGTTCAGGATCGGTCTCCTACTCGTCATAAGCTTGATGATAAAGCGATTTGTTATGTCTTTGTGGGCTATTATCATCAGTCTAAGGGGTATCGACGTTATGATCCTGTCAGGCGACGTATGGATCACAGTTTAGATGTTATCTTCCTTGAGCATATTTCTTATTTTTCTTCCACTCCTGTGTCTGCCCCTCCAGTTGATGATACTCCAGAGCCATGAGTCACTATCACTACAGAGTCATTGGTCTCTCCTCCNATGGTGATCTAGATGAGATTATTTATATGAATGCACCACCGAGCTTTCATGGTGTGGGGGAGTATGCTGGAAAGGTTTGTTGACTACGTAAGTCTCTTTATGGACTGAAATAGTTGCCACGAGCCTGGTTCTCTCATTTTAGTGATGTAGTTGTACGNAGCGTCGTTATCCACGGCGTGATTGTCGTCCAGTTGTTTGTTATGGTTGGACCGCAAAGATTTTATATCCGATCTCTGCTTATGTTTCTTATGGTGATCTGTCTCCTACATTTCGAGCTTATAGTATGGCCTTATCAGATACGCCGGTTCCTCGCTCTGTTTCAGAGACTATGCGGGAGCCCCAGTGGATTCTTGCTATGCAGACAGAGATGGACGCTCTTCAGCATAATCATACATGAGATCTTTTCTCTTTACCTTCATGGGTGAAGCCTGTTGACTGTTGCTGGGTTTATACCCTGAAGTTTCTTGTGGATGCTACTATTGATCGTCACAAGGTTATGCTTGTGGCGAAGGTCTTTACTCAGGTACCAGGTCGTGATTTTGGTGCTACCTTTGCCCCCGTGGCAAAATTGACTACTGCTCGACTGATTATTTCTTTGGTTGCGGAATACTCTTGGCCTCTTCATCAGTTGGATGTGAATAATGCATTTCTTCATGGTGATCTAGATGAGATTATTTATATGAATGCACCACCGAGCTTTCATGGTGTGGGGGAGTATGCTGGAAAGGTTTGTTGACTACGTAAGTCTCTTTATGGACTGAAATAGTTGCCACGAGCCTGGTTCTCTCATTTTAGTGATGTAGTTGTACGTTTAGGGTTCACCAGATGTCATTTTGATCATACCTGTTTCATTCGACGGAATATTTTCGGACAGTGTGTCATCCTTTTGGTATATGTTGATGATATTATTATTACTGGAGATGATACTTTTGGAACTGCGCGGGTTAAGATAGACCTTGGGAAAGCCTTCGATGTGAAGGATTTTGAATTTTTGCGATACTTTCTTGGGATTGAGGTTGCCTGTAGCAGCAAAGGTATTGTTCTTTCTCAGAGAAAGTATGTTCTGGATCTTCTCTCAGACACTGGGATGGTGGGGTGCAAATCGGGATCATCACCCATGATTCCAAACCTGAAGCTTACTGCTGAAGATGAGGAGTTGAGAGATCCGACTGTCTATCACAGGTTGGTAGGTAGACTTATCTACCTAGCCAACACTAGGCCAGACATTCATTCGCTGTCAGCCGAGTTAGTCAATTCATGCACAGACCATGTCAGCCTCACCTTGATGCAGTTTATCATATTCTTCGGCACCTCAAGTCTTGTCTTGGACTTGGGTTGTTCTATGCATCAGGATCTCAGATTGGTTCTCTAGCCTGTTATTCAGATTCAGATTATAGGGGAGCATGTGACGGTCGATCTACTACGGGCTTCTGTGCTTTTCAAGGGACTCATCTTATCTCTTGGAAGAGGAAGAAGCAGTCAGTTGTCTCTCGCTTGACAGCAGAGGCAGAGTATCGGGCACTGGCACTTGGGACATGTGAAATTATCTGGCTACGATTGATTCTTGGCGAGTAAGGACTTCTAGTGACTTCTTCATCTACATTATATTGTGATAATCAATCTGTTATTCAGCTCGTTTCTGACTCTGTATTACACGAGAGGACGAAGCATATAGAGATCAATGTTCACTTTCTTCGGGAGAAGGTTAGCAGTGGTATTGTCACTCCATCGTTTGTGGGGACTAGTGATTAGGTTGTAAATATTTTCACCAAACCTGTCACTCTATCCATTCTTCGGGACTCAATTGTCAAGCTTGGCTTAGTTGACATTTTTGCGCTTAGTTTGAGGGGGAGTATTGGAGATATAGCAGTTTAGTTTATTAGGATTTATTAAGTTTTCCTTTTTTTACTTTTTTATCCTTATTGTAACTTTTATTGGCTATATATACGGGACTCTACACTTAGTTTGTATCCCTTTTTCTCTCTTCTAAATATTTCCAGTGAAACAAAATGAGGGATCTGATGGAAAAGTGTGTAGTCGTGTTATCAAAATGGAGGTAAAAATTATATGTAATAGGTTTTTTTGCCTTCTAATTATATTTGTCTTCAGTTGACATATATCTCTGCAGGTTCATTCCATATGAGATTACTGTATGCTATGATGTTGGTATTGTACATAGAGATGGAAACGCTGGGCCACCCTTTTATATGGGGATTTATATTTTTATGAGCCTAGAAAATTTAGTCTCTCCTTGCATGTGTGATTAGAAATAGATTTTCATTTGGTGCAACCTTGCTAATTTTTTAAGGGTAGTTCAAGTTCTTTTTATCATGTTCACTCTTATTTTTTTTTTAATTTTTTGGCTTGGTTGCTTTTTATGTAATGCCAGTTGAACGAGGTTGTTAATGGGTTAAAGGATGATGAGCCTCTCTTGGATTCAGTACTCGTGCATATGGGAAGCATGTATTCATCTCTGGGGAAGTTTGACAAGTCCATGCTATCCTATAGGAGAGCTCTTAAAATTCTGGAAAGTAAATATGGTGAGTGTTATCTTTTAAGTGTTTCATATGTTGTCTATTATATTTGTGATTGGTGGTGTCTGTGTTAGAATGCATTCATCGTAACACTGCTGGTGGTGGTCAATGTATCTAGACTTGGCATTCTGATCCTGGTTGGTGACTTATGCATTGTCATACTCTGATTTTGCTAATTCTCATGAAAGTATTGCAATCTGACCACAACTTTAAGACATTTCTTAGGCATATTTGGTAAGGTCCTGCTTAGCTTGCGAATGGTTCTAAAGGTGCAAAACGCACAAGTTGAACAAATTTTTTTTTTTTCCTTTTGGGAAGTATTCATCCAAATTACTTAAATGATAAGGAGACTATTTAAAAGTGACAACTGAGAAGTTAGCCCACATTCGTGGTAGAAAGCATGTAATAAAATGTCTTGAGATCTTTTGCATCTGGAAGTATAACTTCCAAGAATATGTTCTTTTTTTCCTTTTTCATTGTTTGGGTAAACTAGATTGGTAGTCCCCAAGGTACACAATTTTTCTCACTTTGTTCTCCCGATTTTCAATTGTGTCATTTTAGTCCAAAAAAATGTAAAAGTTTAGTTTTAAGCTTCCAAGCTCCAACTTTATTCTAAATAATTGACAAAAGCGAACCATGAGTCTTTTTGATGATGTCTACTTCTATTTACTCGTTGGAAGTTATCATTGGACTATTCAAACTAAATCACAAATTTTAAGGATTATAATGTACAATTGAAAGTTGAGAGACCAAAGTGAGACTAAACGCATACTTCAAGAACCGTTAATGTATTTTACCCTTTCATTTTGTGGGTCTTGTGGGAGGGGAATGGGTTATGTATTATCCAGGATGTATCTTATTGTTGCATGCTTGGCATACATAGTCAAGCTAGGTGGAAAGGACTTAATACATGACACCGAGATTGGCTTGAAGTTCTATTTCAAGGTACCAACAATAGATAAATGGAATTCCCATTCATGTTTCTGGAGAAGACAAAAATTCCATATCTGCTCACTTCACTTTAATAAAGCTTTAAGTCTCAGCTGCTTGGCATTGAGGAATGGTTACATGAATGTGTTTACTGTTCATCCGCCTTGGGCTATGTTATTGGTTAAGTCTTGCCATTATTTTTTCCACATTCTTAAACCTCTTATATGGGGCCTTCTTTCTTCCCTTGCACGTCAAATTGGGCCATTTCTCTTTGCTGCTGTGTTACTCACTCTTGGCTGCCAGTAACACCATCTTTGATTACTAAGTCCTTTATCAAAAATAAATAAGTTGAGCCATAGTTTGAGTTGTCTAAATTAGATCAATAATCACATCAACAACTAATTTTTTGTCAAATGATTCTCTTCAAATTTTTATAATTTTATAATTTTATGAAGATTGAAGATTCATTTTTGGACCTTCCTGTTCAATGGTGGCTTTTGTATTGTACCATCATGTAAATCCGAAGTCTGTCCAACTCCTCCATCAGTATTAAAAAGGAAATTTGGCAAGTGGTGTTCTTCAACAACTAAATGCAGCTATTTTCCTGACTTTATCATATCTTGCTAGTTTGGCTATTTTCTTTCCTACATTTTAATTACGGTCCATTTTTTATCTCCGCAGGACCATTGAACACTAAATGGTTCTGCGGATTGCAGTGTGCGTCTGTTGTGACTCCTGCTAGGTGCCATTAGTTTTGTGAAATAGTCATTCATTGTTCAGCAATCAGCATTCTACTAATGCGGGTATTTATGATGGCATATTCTTTCTTTTTTTTTTGGTAGGGAACAAGAGTACTTTACTTATTACTCCCTTATTAGGGACAGCAAAAGTTCTTGGTTCTACTGGAAGAGCCACAAAGGCAATAGAAATGTACCACCGTGCAATATCCATATTGGAATTGAGCAGAGATGCAGAGAGCGAGGAANGTTTGAGGGGGAGTATTGGAGATATAGCAGTTTAGTTTATTAGGGTTTATTAAGTTTTCCTTTTTTTACTTTTTTATCCTTATTGTAACTTTCATTGGCTATATATACGGGGCTCTACACTTAGTTTGTATCCCTTTTTCTCTCTTCTAAATATTTCCAGTGAAACAAAATGAGGGATCTGATGGAAAAGTGTGTAGTCGTGTTATCAAAATGGAGGTAAAAATTATATGTAATAGGTTTTTTTGCCTTCTAATTATATTTGTCTTCAGTTGACATATATCTCTGCAGGTTCATTCCATATGAGATTACTGTATGCTATGATGTTGGTATTGTACATAGAGATGGAAACGCTGGGCCACCCTTTTATATGGGGATTTATATTTTTATGAGCCTAGAAAATTTAGTCTCTCCTTGCATGTGTGATTAGAAATAGATTNTTAGTTTGAGGGGGAGTATTGGAGATATAGCAGTTTAGTTTATTAGGATTTATTAAGTTTTCCTTTTTTTACTTTTTTATCCTTATTGTAACTTTTATTGGCTATATATACGGGACTCTACACTTAGTTTGTATCCCTTTTTCTCTCTTCTAAATATTTCCAGTGAAACAAAATGAGGGATCTGATGGAAAAGTGTGTAGTCGTGTTATCAAAATGGAGGTAAAAATTATATGTAATAGGTTTTTTTGCCTTCTAATTATATTTGTCTTCAGTTGACATATATCTCTGCAGGTTCATTCCATATGAGATTACTGTATGCTATGATGTTGGTATTGTACATAGAGATGGAAACGCTGGGCCACCCTTTTATATGGGGATTTATATTTTTATGAGCCTAGAAAATTTAGTCTCTCCTTGCATGTGTGATTAGAAATAGATTTTCATTTGGTGCAACCTTGCTAATTTTTTAAGGGTAGTTCAAGTTCTTTTTATCATGTTCACTCTTATTTTTTTTTTAATTTTTTGGCTTGGTTGCTTTTTATGTAATGCCAGTTGAACGAGGTTGTTAATGGGTTAAAGGATGATGAGCCTCTCTTGGATTCAGTACTCGTGCATATGGGAAGCATGTATTCATCTCTGGGGAAGTTTGACAAGTCCATGCTATCCTATAGGAGAGCTCTTAAAATTCTGGAAAGTAAATATGGTGAGTGTTATCTTTTAAGTGTTTCATATGTTGTCTATTATATTTGTGATTGGTGGTGTCTGTGTTAGAATGCATTCATCGTAACACTGCTGGTGGTGGTCAATGTATCTAGACTTGGCATTCTGATCCTGGTTGGTGACTTATGCATTGTCATACTCTGATTTTGCTAATTCTCATGAAAGTATTGCAATCTGACCACAACTTTAAGACATTTCTTAGGCATATTTGGTAAGGTCCTGCTTAGCTTGCGAATGGTTCTAAAGGTGCAAAACGCACAAGTTGAACAAATTTTTTTTTTTTCCTTTTGGGAAGTATTCATCCAAATTACTTAAATGATAAGGAGACTATTTAAAAGTGACAACTGAGAAGTTAGCCCACATTCGTGGTAGAAAGCATGTAATAAAATGTCTTGAGATCTTTTGCATCTGGAAGTATAACTTCCAAGAATATGTTCTTTTTTTCCTTTTTCATTGTTTGGGTAAACTAGATTGGTAGTCCCCAAGGTACACAATTTTTCTCACTTTGTTCTCCCGATTTTCAATTGTGTCATTTTAGTCCAAAAAAATGTAAAAGTTTAGTTTTAAGCTTCCAAGCTCCAACTTTATTCTAAATAATTGACAAAAGCGAACCATGAGTCTTTTTGATGATGTCTACTTCTATTTACTCGTTGGAAGTTATCATTGGACTATTCAAACTAAATCACAAATTTTAAGGACTATAATGTACAATTGAAAGTTGAGAGACCAAAGTGAGACTAAACGCATACTTCAAGAACCGTTAATGTATTTTACCCTTTCATTTTGTGGGTCTTGTGGGAGGGGAATGGGTTATGTATTATCCAGGATGTATCTTATTGTTGCATGCTTGGCATACATAGTCAAGCTAGGTGGAAAGGACTTAATACATGACACCGAGATTGGCTTGAAGTTCTATTTCAAGGTACCAACAATAGATAAATGGAATTCCCATTCATGTTTCTGGAGAAGACAAAAATTCCATATCTGCTCACTTCACTTTAATAAAGCTTTAAGTCTCAGCTGCTTGGCATTGAGGAATGGTTACATGAATGTGTTTACTGTTCATCCGCCTTGGGCTATATTATTGGTTAAGTCTTGCCATTATTTTTTCCACATTCTTAAACCTCTTATATGGGGCCTTCTTTCTTCCCTTGCACGTCAAATTGGGCCATTTCTCTTTGCTGCTGTGTTACTCACTCTTGGCTGCCAGTAACACCATCTTTGATTACTAAGTCCTTTATCAAAAATAAATAAGTTGAGCCATAGTTTGAGTTGTCTAAATTAGATCAATAATCACATCAACAACTAATTTTTTGTCAAATGATTCTCTTCAAATTTTTATAATTTTATAATTTTATGAAGATTGAAGATTCATTTTTGGACCTTCCTGTTCAATGGTGGCTTTTGTATTGTACCATCATGTAAATACGAAGTCTGTCCAACTCCTCCATCAGTATTAAAAAGGAAATTTGGCAAGTGGTGTTCTTCAACAACTAAATGCAGCTATTTTCCTGACTTTATCATATCTTGCTAGTTTGGCTATTTTCTTTCCTACATTTTAATTACGGTCCATTTTTTATCTCCGCAGGACCATTGAACACTAAATGGTTCTGCGGATTGCAGTGTGCGTCTGTTGTGACTCCTGCTAGGTGCCATTAGTTTTGTGAAATAGTCATTCATTGTTCAGCAATCAGCATTCTACTAATGCGGGTATTTATGATGGCATATTCTTTCTTTTTTTTTTGGTAGGGAACAAGAGTACTTTACTTATTACTCCCTTATTAGGGACAGCAAAAGTTCTTGGTTCTACTGGAAGAGCCACAAAGGCAATAGAAATGTACCACCGTGCAATATCCATATTGGAATTGAGCAGAGATGCAGAGAGCGAGGAATTGGTGATACCTTTATTTGCTCTTGGACGTCTTTTAATCAAGGAAGGCAGAGCTGTGGATGCTGAAAATCCTTTTAATAGGTCACTTCTCTTTTATGGATATTGCTTGGTATAGAGTTATAGGTTCTTATTATTAGCTATTTATCTCTCTCTCTTTGTTTGGCTAATCATAGAATTTTAAACATATATACGAAGTTATATGGAGAGGAAGATGGGAGAGTTGGAATGGCTATGTGTTCCCTAGCTCATGCCAAGTGTGTAAAAGGTGCATGTTGTAAATTTTCTCAGCATGCAAGTATTTTTCTTCTTCTTGTGGTTTCTGACTAGGATGTTGTTTTTCGTTTCTTTTCCTTATGTTTGGCTACCTGTCATCAATATGTGATGTTGGTCTTCAGTAAATAGACAGTTGTTCAGCCCAACTTCATGCTCATGAATGGATNCTTTTCATTTCTTTTCCTTATGTTTGGCTACCTGTCATCAATATGTGATGTTGGTCTTCAGTAAATAGACAGTTGTTTAGCCCAACTTCATGCTCATGAATGGGTAATAATCATGGTGTTGTGTGCAAGAACATCATCATCATATATGTTACTGTTATGAGNTTTTTCGTTTCTTTTCCTTATGTTTGGCTACCTGTCATCAATATGTGATGTTGGTCTTCAGTAAATAGACAGTTGTTCAGCCCAACTTCATGCTCATGAATGGATAATAATCATGGTGTTGTGTGCAAGAACATCATCATCATATATGTTACTGTTATGAGGGACCTTCTTTCTCTTTGACATTCATGTGATCATGCTTAGCTCTGCTTCCACTGCTCTTTCCAGCTGGAGCGGTGGTAAAGTGAGTGGGGAATTTATATCTGTGTGGAAAGTGGTGCCTTTATATCTGGGGTGGAGTATTTCCAATCGAAAAAGAAAAAATCTGGGATGGAGAGGAGTAGACATTCCATTGGGAGGAGTGGGAAAGCCTGTCCATAAACTGAGGCATTTGAAATTGAGATCAACGTATCACTGGATAACAGAAAGGACCTGGAGTCTGTCTATACTTTTGTTAATTTTTCTGGAAATGAGAGATTATATTCTTGTATATGTTGGTTTAGGTTAGAATACATTTGCGTGCTCATGGGTGAAGCCCAAACTCCAAAACGTAAATGCGTCGGGGTTGTCAGATTGCTTTGTTTCTTGTGTCATTATCTTTTTAACATTTTTGATATCTCTATTTATGATAGGTTTTGGGTTCTTATCCCTTTTGCCCTTTCGTTTACAGGGAACGTGGATGAAGCCATTGATCTGTATAGAAATGCCCTTCATGTCCTCAAGGATTCAAAATATATGGCATTGGATGACGACATAATGGAAAAGATGAGAATAGACTTAGCAGAATTACTTCATGTAGTAGGGAGGTAAAGTTGGATTTGTCATGTAGTTGTGCTTTTCTGTCTAGTTGTGCCACCTTTCAATTGAGAAGTCAGAGTGTGCAGTCAATATATCAGTCAGAAAATCTCTAAATGATTTACCATATTTTTATCGTAAGGTTTCTTAATGGATTTCCTTTAGTAGGTACTGAGTAACCATAGTTAGAGGCTCAGAGGTAATCAAGGATAATAGAGTGCTAGTAATCATAAGAGCTGGCAGGTCAAATGTAAACAAACCATGCAGCTGCTGAATGTATATCAGATAGTAGATAGCATCAAGCATGATAGTAGATAGCATCAAGCAAGTTACTTCTTTTAAAGTGTCGCCTTATATTCTGCTTTGTATTGTTTGCTTTTAGAGGAAAAGAGGGCCGAGCACTGCTGGAGGAATGTTTGTTGATCACCGAGAAGTATAAAGGGAAAGACCATCCAGGCATAGTCACGCACCTTATAAATCTTGCAACCTCCTATTTGCGCTCCAAGGATTTTGTGGAGGCTGAGCGCTTGCTGAGGACAAGTCTGGATATCATGTCGAAGACTGCGCCCCCAGATGATCAGTCCATCACCTTCCCCATGTTGCATCTTGCAGTTACTCTTTATAACTTAAACCGCAATGAAGAAGCTGAGCAACTGGCCTTGGATGTTTTGCGCATCCGCGAGAAGGCATTTGGAAAAGAATCTCTTCCCGTTGGTAAGCTTTTGTTCCCTTTTGCTTAATGGTAAAATATATTTTACAGCTATGTTGTCATCCTTTCCATTTATCTGGTATGTGATTGTGGTATGCCATTTCTCTGTGTTCTCTATGCATGGGCATAGGGTTTTGAACAAATTGAAGATGCAAAAGAGCTGAGGAATTTAGTGCTTATAATATTTTGCACAATGTTTGTATGTTTCTCTGTCTCCTACATGCAAAACTCTACGGTGTCGATCAAATTCATTCTGATGATATGATGGTGGTTTCCGTAGTTATTTTATGAATAATTTCACAGTTGTTATATATATTTTCTGTCTCATTCTTTTACAAGTGATTAATTTCTTGCAGGGGAGGCTCTTGATTGTTTGGTTTCCATTCAGACCAGTTTAGAGAAGGATGGCAGTGAGTTATTACAGTTGCTGAAAAGGGTTCTGAGAATCCAGGAGAAAGCATTTGGCCGTGAAAGTAAGGCGGTGGTGGAAACCTTGAGAAAAATTGTATTCTACTTGGACAAATTGGGGTTGAAGGAGGAGAAGTTTCCTTTGCAAAAGAGATTGTCTATGCTTAGAGACAAATATAAAAAAACAATGCAGTATTAGTGTCAATGGAGGCTGCTCTACTGGATGGATTCAGCTGAAATTTCCAAAATAGTCTGTGCATTATGCATCTGTACAGGTATTTTTTTTTTTTTGGGGGGTGGGGCGGGGGTTTGTTGTTTAATCTGTATTTTATGATAACTGTATTCAAGTTTTTTACCATTTGGAGTTGCAAAACGTACTTCCTTGAGCTATAGAAAACTGTATTTGTTTTGAACGCTAGATATATAGTTGAAGTGGTTCTCTAGGGGGAAAAGGTCAAAGAAATCAACTTCCAGCAGAAAATGCAATCAATTTTATACAAGTATGACTATGATAATGTGCATTACATCAAAAAAGAGTATATGGCAGCTGATGCTTACAAAAATGAGCAAGAAATGAAAAGACATCGTGTACAATGCCATAACCANTAACTTCCAGCAGAAAATGCAATCAATTTTATACAAGTATGACTATGATAATGTGCATTACATCAAAAAAGAGTATATGGTAGATGATGCTTACAAAAATGAGCAAGAAATGAAAAGACATCGTGTACAATGCCATAACCAAATGGGTGTCTTAAGGCAAAACTTCAAAAAAACAAGTGCATGGTAGATTCCTCCCACGCCCACGACGACTTCTCATCTCTTTTCCTCTGTTATCCTGTGATTAATATTCATCTAAGTAGGCGTATAACACGTCATCTTCCTTCGACTTGCGTCGGCTGAGCAAGGCTTTAAGGATCCGTTTACTTCTGCTGGTGTATTTGTCTCTCTCTTTCAGTTCTCCTCTTTCAGCATGGAACCGCATTGAAGCTGATTTTTGAGCGCTTGAAGGATGCTGGTAAAATGAAACAATATACAAAATTAAGACTCGGTAAATTGAAAACTGAAAAAAATGAATGTTTGCAAGTTTGAAATGATGGCTGGAGTGTTCTGTAGCCAAATCTAACATTTGGCCTTTTCACTCTAGTAACATGAACAGGACACAAAAGATGTGATTGCATANCATTGAAGCTGATTTTTGAGCGCTTGAAAGATGCTGGTAAAATGAAACAATATACAAAATTAAGGCTCGGTAAATTGAAAACTGAAAAAAATGAATGTTTGCAAGTTTGAAATGATGGCTGGAGTGTTCTGTAGCCAAATCTGACATTTGGCCTTTTCACTCTAGTAACATGAACAGGACACAAAAGATGTGATTGCATATACTTCCCGGAGTTTGCCAAGCAACCATACGAGCCCAAAAGATGCCTAGTTGGAAACAGTTTTGAACAAATAATGAAACAAAGAATAAATGAAGGGAAGGATCCAGTGTCTACCTGTTGCCTTCCAAGAAAAGGGTTAAGAGNGCAAAAGATGCCTAGTTGGAACAGTTTTGAACAAATAATGAAACAGAATAAATGAAGGGAAGGATCCAGTGTCTACCTGTTGCCTTCCAAGAAAAGGGTTAAGAGTGTTTGGCCGACTCGGATTTGGGGTGGTGGGGCGCGAACTTTTTGGGGTAGTTGGCCTACTCAAGAGAGATCCAGAACGTACAAGAGGAAACCGATGTGGTGAAACTGTTCGCCTGTCTGATTCATAAGCATCACCTGTTACTGTTCGCTCGTCTGATTCATAAGCATAACCCATAGAACATAAGAAACAGGAGGATAATGAGAAGTTTGAAAGGAGAAAACAGACACAGAAATAACTTGAAATATATCAACTTAGCTCAAGAGTCAAAGACGCAAAATTGATGCATACAAACCTAGTACTTTTGTGGTGGTGGTGCCATTGGATGATAAGTTTCCAGGTTGTTTGGGAAGACATGGAGAAGGTGACCGGGAGTGCCCTTTTCTGCGTGGCATGCAATTTAGAATACAAATAACCTAGAAACACAGGCATGTGAAGGTACCAATTTGACGCATCATGATAAGTAACATCAAAACTTACCCCAATGGAGATGCAGTTTCTCTAATTGTAGCTCGAACAGCTTTGGTAAAACAACCAGCTAATAGATTAGATCAAATTATACCAAAACCTTTCCTAAGGCAATAGAAATGATGAGGAAGAAGGGACTAGAAAAGAGCATTCTACCATTTTTAAATTGATGTGATTCATCTTCATCACTGAAGCGACAACCCTGGTAGCTTGGTTCAGTACGAATGGAACAGTGCATGGTCTCGCCAACTGAGCATGATATTAAAAACTCGTAAAAAATCAAACACCTTAGTCTCTTTAATAATATGTACATCTCTATAAAAGATAAGCAACATGTCCACTAAGATATTATAAGACATGAAGACTGTAGAGTGTAACTGCCTGGCAAGATGTATCTCTTATGGTACTTCGGAGTATCTATCAACAATGATTGCTGAGAAAGGCCCTCTCGGTCAATGTGCTCCTGGCATGTCCGCAACCTCTAAGATAAGACAACAAAGGCACAAATAGTCAATATCAATCTTAATTCCATCATCTCAGAGCAAAAAGGTGCAGTTGTAGGCATAGCTGCTACCTTGATTCAGTGTAATCATCAATTCACAAATATCCTGTAGAATAGTGGGGTGGAAGAAGCTTTCTCCGCATTTTTTATGTTAGCAATTTTTATGCTTATTCAGGATTTCGAAGACGATAGTACTCATAACCTTTAGGTTACTTTCTCTAGATTTTGATCATAATATTTTTAAATAAAACCTATTCAGAAACAACAAATGAAACCCCAACATATACATAAACAATGAAGCCAAATTCACCTGATCAATGCAAGATACCCGAAGCTCTGTTCCAGAAACTTCATGAACCTTNCACAAAAAATGAAACCCCAACATATACATAAACAATGAAGTCAAATTCACCTGATCAATGCAAGATACCCGAAGCTCTGTTCCAGAAACTTCATGAACCTTTTCATCAACGAGATCGTTAACCTTAAATGTCACAGAACCCAAATGGTCCACAGTACTTACAACAGCTTTGACAGCATAATCTTTCAATGTATCCACCACTCTGTATGTGCAGGAATAATTGCCAGTGGGAAAAAGGACAGAATACAATGGAGGGTGTAATGGAATGTAAGAAGTTCGGCAACAACTCACATTTGTTTCTGGTTATCATTGGTGTAAGACAACTCAAAATACTCAGCTGCCGAGTACAGTTGCTTTCTCAGATTCTTCAAATCCTAAAGAAAGAAAAGTAAAAGAAAATGGATTTTAAAAAACATAATTTAGGATCAAAAGGTTCTCATATAATAACAGATAAGTTAAGCTTGTGCAATAAAACAAGAAAAATTGCATACATTACCGGTTTTGTATTACCACTTATTTGGAGGATTGCGATTAGCTCTTGTTTTGGAAAGATAATAATGGATAACCTTGATTGAAATCCTATCGTGTCATGTTAGGAAAAACCAGAAATATATATATATATATATGTAGCCCTAGTCCAACAAATGTTTTGCTGTCTTCATTTCCATAATAGCCAAACAGAAATGCAGTTCTTGCTTCAGAAAAAAAAAATATTGATGTCCTAAACAGACTACCTTCCCATCTCACTTGACATTACTCAGATAGTAAGAAGTAGAAGAATTTATTGTGTTTCAGAACCATTAATAAGCCTCCATAATTTGAGCTGAACTTTATAAAGGAAAATGAAAAAGAAGGTGAAGAAGGACAATTTGTCAATTTTACAAACACAAGCACCCGGAAGACAAATCCAAGCATGGGAAGCAGGGAATACCTTAAGACTATCAGAGAAGAGCAAACTCTGCTGCATATAATCCTCATCATAACTGGCTGGTTCTGGAGGGAGGTGGATAGAAGCAGATGAAGTGACTGTCTCCATGATGGAGAAACTGGTAATCAAGAATTCTTTACCGAGCAGAAATTAATTTAACCCCTGTAAAAATTACAGCCACAAACATTTTTTAAAAAGAGGGAAAATGATAACAAACCAACGTATCTTAGTCATGGCTCTATGTAAGGTTATGTATTGTAATTCATCTTTAAGCCCAAAATCGAAAACCCAACAGCACCCAGAACTATAAATACAAAACCCTTAAAAGGATGAGCAATTCTAACAGGAGACTTGTAGTAGAAGTTGCAACAAACAGAGAATTCCTAATCTTGTTGAAAAGCAGCTACTTTTGAAAAACAAAACAAACAATGTCTAAAACAAAAATAGGAAAAATCAATAAAGGCAGAGTAAAGCTTTCAAATGACTCCGCAACCACCCAGAGAACAAATCGGCAAACTGAACAACTGGAATTTGAAAAGGCTGATTATGTCCTAAGCTTGATCAACACACACTCATTGTACAAGAACAAAGCATATTCCCAGATATGAGTTAAAACGATAATCAATCCTTAAAAACATCAAAGCTGCAATCTCTACCCCAAAAAAAAAACCATTTTAGTAGCTGAAAACTAACAACAATGAAACAAACAAGGTCAAATTTGAGTCTAACATTACACATCTTATTGTTTCCCAACAAAGGAAATCCAACTCAACTTTGAAATATTCAATTTTTTTCCCACTTTCTCAGCAACCAAAATGATAACAAACAAGTACAATCGGTGAGATAGTGAAGAGTCTAACCTGTTATTTGTTCTGCAAGAACTGTCAACTCCAAACCCACTATCCCCTTCAACTTTTGATCATAACAATTCTGAACACCCAACTGATTAAGACGGCCAAATGAGACGCAAATTGGCCCATTCACTGAGATAGACCAAAAGTAGATAAGTAAGCCAAGAGAAAACGACAACTAAAGTTTTGGAGGATATTTGAGGACGAGAAAGCTAGAAAATGCGAACACAGATTGACACGAGAGAGGGAAAGAGAGACTGAAGAAGATTGGGTCGCATCAAGGTAAGCAGATCGGTATACGGAGAGATTCCAACAAAACTGCGTCTTACCGCAGAACCCAAAAAATCTCTATCTAATGCTTGCTAATTTGTGGGCCCGTGGTCCTTTGGGCCTCTTTACCATATTTGTGTTATGTTGAGTGAGATTAGTGTTGTAGGGTGTAGATTTTAAAAAAATATTGGGTAATCATTAAACCACGCTAACTTAGTATAATTGTTTATTAATAGATAAATAAATCAATAAATGAACCCCACTAAAATTCATAAATTGGAGAGGTCAACTTCAAATTTTCCTCAAACTCATTNTATTAAACCACGCTAACTTAGTATAATTGTTTATTAATAGATAAATAAATCAATAAATGGACCCCACTAAAATTCATAAATTGGAGAGGTCAACTTCAAATTTTCCTCAAACTCATTAACTTTAATGTCATTTGTATTTAAAATTTTGAACTCTGGCAATATATAAATTGAGATAAAATTCAAATCTAATTTATATTTAATTAAAATTTAGATTTAATTGAATAGCATTGCTCTTTTGATCATTATTCGAGCTGAGTTGGGATAAGATTTGGTATTCAAAATTAATTGTCTACCGATTATTCGGATTGGGCCCCATAATCTGTCATGTTTTTCAGTGCTTAACCTTTCTCAGGCAATCCTTCTCCTTTTTGGGATTGGAATATTTATTTAGTTTGAATCCGTGATTGTAGTAGTGCTTAATCTACTTTCCGTTTATTAATGTTGAAACTTGGAAAGGGACCCACTGCGGACCAGAATGATAGGTTTTTCTTTCTTTCCCTAGCTAGGCCCAGATTGAGTTGGGTTTGGCCCTAAGTCCATTTGGGTGTTGCTCAACTCAATCACCCATTAACCATTCAATAGCCACCAGATTAATATCGGGGTATTTGTAGATTTATTTAGATTTAAATATACTCAAAAAAATTATTTACAGATAAGTCTATTTTTAATCTATATTATCCAAAATATTTTTAAATTATTTTTATTGAGACCAACAATAATAGATAATATTTATGATAAGAGTAATTATATAATATATTTCAAAAAGAATTTGAAATGTTTTAAAATGTGTACTTATTGATAATTATTTGATAAAAAAGATGACTTAATAAAATATAAATTTAGAAGTAATATTTAAAACCAAATAAATTCTACAAAAAATACTCACAGACAATTATCCGTAATATCAATACTACATGACATGTATAAACTCTTCACTCAATTATCCATTAACCATTCAATAGCCACCAGATCTACAAGAAATGAAACGGAAAATAAGAGCAAGCAAGCGAGGGCAGGCAGGTTATTGAGCAGATGGAAGCAGGCTCGATCACTGGCCCACCATTCTCTTATTTTATTATTGTCTTCGTCTCCATGGGACCGCCTGCTTAAAGCCTTCATAAATGTTTGTCTGCAAAATAATACAACAGCATACATTACCCACCACATTTATGGATGAATCAAATTAAGCACTTACAAATAATTTTTTCTTTTTTTTTATTTAATGGTCAAAGGTCTCTGGTCAATTTATGTATATTTTAACTAATTCCCTCTTCGATTTGATCAAAGACATGCCACGAAATTATAATTATCTTAGGATTTATAAATAATTTTTTTTTTGGACAAATCATTAGTGATTTTGAAACACATAAAACAGGGAAAAAGTTGTATGCTAAAAAAAAAAGTTAAGAACGAGAAGCATTACTCAAATGGAAAATTGCGTTGAAACTTACCCACAAGTGAGAACTGGTGTGAGAGAAACTCAAGAAGCTGCTTCTTCTTCTAACCTTTGTGATCTTCACCTTCGAATCACTCTGAGGCTGAGCACCACTACTTACAGAAGATGAAAAGTCAAAACTATCCATGACAACCCCACTATTCTCCTTGAAACTGCCCCACCTCGAAGCAACAAAGCTAAGTCTATCCTTAGTACTGTTTCTCTTTCTATACCTTACACCACCAACCAGACCTCCCTCAAGGTTCGTAGACTGCCCCTTTCGAAAAGAAAACGATAATGTGTGAGACAAAGACCGACCTTCGTAAGGTCCGTCCAACACGGTGGTCGGGGAGGGCATAGGGGTAGTGATTTTGGTCTCAGTCAACAGTCTTGGAGGCAGTTCTAAGGACCTGACAGTCTTGGATTGTGGAGTAGTGGAGGTGGTGGTGGCTCTAGGCTTGCCTGGTGCCTCCTCCCATTGGAATGGAATTGAAGCTAAGGTATGGATTGGTGGTGTTTGCATCCCTGGAGGCTCCTGTGGCTTGCTTGGAAGTGAGAACAAAGATAGCTTTGGTGGTGTGGAGCTTGGTTCATACTCTGCAACCAAGTAACCCATCTCTCTCTCTCTACATGCGCTTCTCAATGTGATGAACTGGTAACCTCCGTTCTTTAATATTTGTAGAGAGAGAGACAGAGAGTATATATTGACAGGGAGGTGGAGAAGCTGAAAGTCCAAAAGAAGGACAAAAGTTCAAAACGCTCCTAGCGCTTCTTCTTCACAAGAAGAAACGGGTGTTCTTACATTTGGCATTTAATGGGAAAAAAAAAACACCCTTAAGCTAGATCCGGGGACCCACTTCAAGAACTTGAATTAGTCAGAAGATAACGACCGCAAACGGTAATGTATGAGTCAGTGTCAGAGTGTAAATACAAAATAGCTGCAGGAAGAGCAACCATTGATATAATTACAAGGTTAAATACAATACAATATTATTGGAAGGTTGGAGTCCTAAAACAGGCCATTTGGCATATAGTGGGTGAAAGTTTACGATTAAGTATTAGCCGGCACTTGTATTTGAACTGACAGATCATTTTTATTCTTCTATACAATTCCATTGGGATTAACGTATCGATCGTCATCCTCAATTTGATCCTGCATGTTGCAAATTTAGATGGTGGTGGCGATGAAATTGAAGTTAGATCATTTCCCTTAAATAAATCACAACGGCCACTTGCCCAAAAAAATCAGAATTCATTTTCTCACATGTCCCAGATCAATTTTGAATATGTCAAATGTTTGATTTGATTGTGATCCGATCCAAATTTTACACAGAAAAAAAGTGTGATTCGAATTTGATAATTCAATAAATTGATATGAAATGTAAATATAATTTACTACAATTCTACTTTAACAAAGTCATTTTATTAGTATATGAATTTTTAATATTCGGATCATTTTTTACCAGATATAACTATTAGACTCAATGGGTACTAGTCATAGACGAATTGATCCAACTAACTCATTTAATATGGCTTCAAATGTAATTATTGGATTAGTTGTGAGTTCCGATGATAGATGGAGCCCACAACCAATCTAATGATTATACATCATTAGATCCCTAAATAAGATCCTCAAATAATGTCCAAATAACATTTTCCAAAATAAATAAAGAATGATTTAAACAAATTTTGATACGACACAAACCCAACACCACAAGATACATTCCTTCCTGATATCAATTTTCATTGGTTTGTGGTTTGCACAAGGAATCAAGCATGCTTCACTTATCAGATCCAAATGCCAAAATGATCATCAGTACAAATTTGTGGCTTTCTTCACAAGTACACAGAATTAATTAAAGGCAACACAGCACCCCTTAGTGAAATATGTACTAAAAAGAGGGGACACATGCATGCAGATGAACAATTCAACTGATCCCATAGTGACTAAAGACCCGAGAAGTCATCCCAGCCATAATCTTCCCATCCATCATATATATTCATCAAATTGCTACTGCTACTGCTTGGTCACATCTCATCTACTTTTGAGTTACTCCTCCCACTTGCCATTTATTTCTGGTTCTAATAAATGTGTGGCTGTGCATGGACCAACACTACCTCCGTTTTGAGAGTTACATGACATGAAGAAATATTAGCACCAAGCATGTGGAATGGCTCCTCATTTGAAGCCTTGTGGGCAATCAATAATCAATGCATTTGAAGGTCCACTACTCATCAGTCGATTGTGCCATAAGGATTAAAATCATCTAATTGGTGTACATGTTGACCCCTCAATCATGCAGAAGTAACACTTTCTTTGTCAGCTTTGTCAATCTGGTTCTATCCTCACACAGCTCTTATAATACAGGGCTGATGACATACAACCACTTTGACGGCTACTACAATATAAGTAGTTTTAAGGCACCAACTGTAGACATAGAGGACCATCAAAAAGAAGTGAGGACTAAACAGTCAGCAATAATATCATTCCAAACAAAATTTGCACAGTTAAGACATGGCTTTCAATTATTATGGACCGTTGTGCACCAACGGTATATACCTTGTCTATATATACACTCCCTACAACTTTTTTTTCTTTTTTTCTTTGGGAGTGGGAGGGGGAGGGAGAAGGGGGCTTAAACCCTTAAAACAGTTGCAAAAAAAGTCAACATTCTGGAAGAGATGATCCTTCGCTATCGCTTGTGCCAGAGCATATGGAAGTTCTGTCGGATTCCCAAGAAGCAGTTGGACTTGGAAATAATAATATTGGTTCGTCTCATGATGCAGCAGCGCCTATTGGAGAGGGATTCTGTCGATTAAATGAGCAATGTCTTCCCTCCTCCACTTTCTTGCTAGAACATCAATTTGTCTGTAAAGAGGGTAGTTCGGTTTGTATGGATGATGAGATGGGACTAGTCTGCAACAAGGAACCTCTTGATAAAGGGTTCTATTCAGATAATGACACCCCTTACAATATAGAGGCCGAGTATAATGGCTCAGAAGATGGTTCTGATAAAGAAGAGCAGCCTGATGCAGTTAAGCAGCTAAGTCAAACTGGTTTGATTACTAGATCAAGGTCTAGCCGAAACGCCTTTCTCCAAAGAATTCTCAATGATTAATATAATCTCATGGAATGTGAGGGGAGCTAATAAAGAAGCCTCTAGATTGAGGCTTAAANTGAAACGCCTTTCTCCAAAGTGTTGGGTTTCCCTCCTTTGTGGGACTCATCAATTTGCTAATTTTTTGGTGGCTTACCCGTGTAGGACTCTTATCCAAGACTTGGTTTGGAGTCTTCTAGTTAAAAAGGAATTTGGCAGCCATCAAAGACTATAAGTTTTGTCCTTTTCTTTGGTTCATCTATTCTCTGTTGGTTTGGCAAGAAGACATATTTTTCGGCAGTCTTTGGTTCAACAAAAATTCAGCCTTCTTCTTCTCCCTTTTTGGTGCCAGAAAAATCTGCAAATTTGTTCTTCAAGTGGGTAACATTTCTTCACTTGATATTTGGGTTTCTTGCGGTTTGTTCTTGGAGATTTGGTTCACTTATTTTGTGAGGTATTTTCCTCTTGTGATTTACACCTTGGTGTGTTTGTAAGGCTTATGCCTTTTGGCCACTTTGTAATCTGATTTGGTGATAGTGGAAGAAACTGACCTACCGGTCGTCGTGGATGTACCTCAAGTTATTTGAGAGAACCACGTAAATCTTGTGTGCTTATTTATTTTATGTTATTTTATTTATATTGCTTCCATTGATTTACACTTGTGGGAAAGCCTATTTTCCCAACACAAAGAATTCTCAATGATTAATATAATCTCATGGAATGTGAGGGGAGCTAATAAAGAAGCCTCTAGATTGAGGCTTAAAAAATTAATTAACGCTAATGATGTCTACTTAGTTTCTGTGCTGGAACCAAAACTCATGCCATCAAAGATGAGGAGTTTGTGCCATAGCTTGGGGTACGCTTCGTTTGCAGCTAATCCGCTTGCTGAGAAGTATTTTTGGGTATTGTGGGATCATAGGCTACAGGTGGAGATTCATGCAGCTCATGAACAGGCCTTGACAGTTAAGGTTTCTTTCCTTGGTACATTGCCTTTTTTAGTTACATTTGTTTATGCTAAGTGCGATCACATACTCAGGAGACCTCTATGGGATCATTTACTCTCTTTGTCTGTCTCAAATATGCCATGGTTAGTAGCAGGTGATTTTAATACCATTGTTTCATCTTCTAAGAGGAAGGGTGGATTGATACCTAGTTTATCTATTATGAATGAATTCATTTCCTTCATTGATTCAGCGGGTCTTATGGATTGTGGTTATATGGGTTCTACTTTTACTTGGTGCAATGATCATAAAGATCTTACCAGAATGTGGCAGAGACTAGATAGAGCTTTACACAACTTGGAATGGGGTGAGAGATTTCAGAACATAGTGGTGGAGCATGCTACTAGAGGGAACTCAGATCATTGTCCTTTGATCATTAAAAATTCTGAAAATGGTGCACCCAGGAGAGTCTCTTATTTTAAGTTTATGAACATGTGGACAGAACATACTGATTTTCTTCCCCTGGTGGAGTCGAAATGGGTAGGGTCTTACTCACAAAATCCTATTGAGAATTTGTTTCTTCGGTTGAAGTACCATAAATTCCACATGAGAAGGTGGAATAAGGATTCCTTTGGTAACGTTTTTGAAAATATCANTTGTTTCTTCGGTTGAAGTACCGTAAATTCCACATGAGAAGGTGGAATAAGGATTCCTTTGGTAACGTTTTTGAAAATATCAAGAAGTGTGAGCAACAACTATTACAGGCTGAGCTTCTAGTGGAGCAGATGTATTCTGAGGCTAATGTATTATCCATGGAGAATGCTAGGAAAGCCCTGGATCATGCCTTGAAGATAGAGGAGATCTTTTGGAGGCAAAAAGCGAATGTTAAGTGGCCCTTGGAGGGGGAGAGAAATACAAGACTGTACCACACTATTGCTAAGGGGAAATCAGTAAGAAATAGAATTAAAGATTCTGGAGGTAATTCGGTGGAGGAGGAATTTGGTATTGCTAGAGTTGCTGAGGAATTTTTTTCTGCACTTTACACTTCAGAGCCACANGCTATATAAAATTAAAGATTCTGGAGGTAATTCGGTGGAGGAGGAATTTGGTATTGCTAGAGTTGCNGAACGGGTTTTATATGTCTTACGCATTGAGCTATATAGCAGCCCAAGCCTTCGCTCCATGGACTAAGCCTCAGAAAATTTTTCATTAAAAAATCACACAATATTACTTCGGGTCGGGTCATCATCCGGATCACATATACAAACTAGACTTCATAAAANGCAGATGAGGATAATCGAATGCTTACTGCTCCTGCTACCTTAGAAGAACCGAAGGAGATCATCTTTTCTATGTCTATCCACAGTGCTCCAGGACCGGATGGGTTTTCAGGTAAATTTTTTCAATGCTCCTGGGGCATTATTAAGAATGACTTGTTGGAAGCAGTTAACTTCTTTCTGCATGGAGGGGAGATCCCTAGATCTGTCAATGCCACCCTAATGTCTCTTATTCCTAAAACAGAGAACCCTTCCACTTTCTCTGATTTTAGGCCAATCATTTTATGCAACTTCTTATATAAAATTTTCACAAAGTTACTGTCTTCAAGGTTGGGTTCTCTTTTGCCAAAACTCATTTCGGAGGAGCAGCAAGGCTTTGTAAAGGGAAGAAATAGCGGGGATAGTATTGCTCTAGCTCAGTTGATGGTAAATGAGCTGGATAGAAAGGTAGAAGCCGGAAACGTTATAGTTAAACTTGATATGATGAAGGCTTTTGATAGAATGGAGTGGGATTTTTTGAATCACACCCTTAAANTGCTCAGTTGATGGTAAATGAGCTGGATAGAAAGGTAGAAGCCGGAAGCGTCATAGTTAAACTTGATATGATGAAGGCTTTTGATAGAATGGAGTGGGATTTTTTGAATCACACCCTTAAAAGCTTTGGGTTCTCTGATAATTTTGTGCTTATCATTTCTAACTGCTTAAGAAATCAAAATGTTTCCCTTACTATCAATGGTGTTAGGCATGGCTTTTTTCCTAGTTCTAGAGGCTTGAGACAAGGTGATCCACTGTCTCCAAGTTTATTCATTCTTGCTGAAAAAATATTAAGCAGAGGGCTTAAGAAACAATACCGGCAGGGTTTAATTCAAAGCTTTCACACTGGAAGAGGCTCTATTATGCTTAGTCATATGTTATTTGCGGACGATACACTTATTTTCCTGAAAGAAAATAAGAGGCCTATGACTAATTTACTAAAATTTGTGGGAAGGTATGAAACATCATCTGGGCAAAAACGTAAACAAACAGAAGAGTTCTCTTTATTGTTCCTCAAGAATCACTCCAGCTAGAAGGTCTATGTTGTCTCGTGTTGCAAATATACCTTCTAAGTCTTGTCCATCCACCTATTTAGGATGTCCAATTATTAAAGGGAGAGTTAAGCTTTGTCATTTTGAAAGCCTTCTTCAAAATGACACGAGACAATCCACCATATTAATCCTAATCACCAAAAGAACGGGTTTTATATGTCTTACGCACTGAGCTATATAGCGGCCCAAGCCTTCGCTCCATGGACTAAGCCTCAGAAAATTTTTCATTAAAAAATCTTACAATATTACTTCGGGTCGGGTCATCATCCGGATCACATATACAAACTAGACTCCANAGCACTGAATTCAAGTATTCTAATATTTCAAGCAGCAACGAATATAACATGACGGCAGTGAATCTCAAATATAACATATGAGAAGATTTAGAAGGCCACCACATAGACANTCACACCCTTAAAAGCTTTGGGTTCTCTGATAATTTTGTGCTTATCATTTGTAACTGCTTAAGAAATCAAAATGTTTCCCTTACTATCAATGGTGTTAGGCATGGCTTTTTTCCTAGTTCTAGAGGCTTGAGACAAGGTGATCCACTGTCTCCAAGTTTATTCATTCTTGCTGAAAAAATATTAAGCAGAGGGCTTAAGAAACANTGCACTGAATTCAAGTATTCTAATATCTCAAGCAGCAACGAATATAACATGGCGGCAGTGAATCTCAAATATAACATATGAGAAGATTTAGAAGGCCACCACATAGACANGAAAAAATATTAAGCAGAGGGCTTAAGAAACAATACCGGCAGGGTTTAATTCAAAGCTTTCACACTGGAAGAGGCTCTATTATGCTTAGTCATATGTTATTTGCGGACGATACACTTATTTTCCTGAAAGAAAATAAGAGGCCTATGACTAATTTACTAAAATTTGTGGGAAGGTATGAAACATCATCTGGGCAAAAACNACAATAAGTAGCATATACAAAGCGGCAGTGAGGCACACCACTTTCCCATTGAACTTTTCCAACGGCCATGTTCATGAAAGTCTCAGCTTTTATTTATTTTAATCATCCCATGTCAGTAAACCACTTGGCACAGAGACCAAGAGAATAGAACAGAAAACTGTCTATCATACTTGATCGTCACAGGAAACATATTAGCACTTACCACTCCTAGGACAGGGTACAGTTGATGTCATACCGGAAGGCAATCCTTCCTTTGAGAAAAGAACAGCTTAAACAAGAGTTTCGTGCAATTGGTTCTTCCTCAAGAAAAGGAAATACAACACAAAGAGTTAATGATAAAAGGTCAATAGCATGCTGTACAAACTTCTGCAATTGATGTTGATGAAGAAGAGATTCTGCAGATAAAGTCAAGACTGTAGCAATAAGTTCCACACGAATAAATAATTTTTATTGCCAAGACTGGTACCAATCACTAAAATGCAAATATCTAACAAAATTCAGGTACCATGAATTCATTGCATAACCTGCAGATTAGGTTAATTAAAGACAAAAATGGATCCACACTTGTGAGGAAAATGCAAAATGGCAAACACAGAAAAAAAAAGAGGGGGGGGGGGGGGG